AAGCTCAAAGAAGAGATTGAGCTCAACTTGAAGCGACGCTTGATTCAGGCGACGATCCGCCTCAGAGCGAAGGTAGAAGTTTCCTGCTCGGCCTACGAGGGCATCGATGCAGTGAAGGCACGACATTTTGTTGCTGCAAGAGACTAGGAGGTAGTGAATGCGAATTTTGGGCACCATGCGACACTGTAATTAAGTATTTGGACAAGGACATTACTTTGCATTTTGCTTTGCGTTTTACTCACTTGAATCCAATTATACTGTGGGGTATATCGTGTTATTCTTAAAATATGTATGTATATATATATATATAGGCCTGATGCCAAATCGGAACAGCAGAGAGCTTGCGTGACGCGGCCTTTTGCAGGCTGCTTTGCAAGAAGGGTTCAAAGCCAGCAAGGAAGAGTGCGAGGTAAAGATTAACCTTGTGGCACACCCACTTTTTGTTCTCACGTGCGTTTGCCGAGACAAGCAGACAGGCTTGGCAACCTTGGATGATGCGATCGAGAGGATAAAGGTGTCCATTGAGAGCCGCAAGGGTGAGTTTGAACTTAGGTCAAAACCAGAAGTCATGGGACAAGAAGAGAAACATGAAGAGTCCAGTGAAGGTGAAGAGTCTGAGGATGAAGAGGGCAGTGAGCAGGAAGCCATGCCCGATCTGGACCAAGCACAGCTTGATGAGCTCATGAAGAAAAAAGGTGGACGATGACGACTGAGCAGTTTTGTTGACTTTGAAGTTGAAAGTTCTTAGTCACAGTCATTGTCCCTGCCGCACGTAAATAGCTGGCAAAGTAGAGCTGAGAATGACGCCTGGCGGCTCGTCATAGGCGCTCGTGGTAAAACTGCCCGCTGCAAGGTTGGTGATACAGTGTAGGAACAAAGGCCACTCGATGAGGCTTGATGGCTTGATACTGATACGTTTTTGTTTGGCACTTTGCTTCTTCGTAGTTGCCTGACACTGCTGAATTGTATTCATTGGTGACCCTCTTATACAGTTCTAGGGTAGCTTGTCAAGGGTTAGATGTCCATCTAGGCTGCACCACATCCGAGAAGGACCTTGGGGTGCAGCAGGTGCTGCTGGTGCCACGAACTCAGCATCACAAGCACCACAAGCCACCAGCATCACAGGGCGCAACGGAATCCCTTTTTGGTTTCTTGTTCCTCTCTCAAGGCCTCAGATCGCTTCGCCTTAGGCGAACTACAAATGGCTTGGAATCGATGAAGATGAGTTGGGATTCGCAGCGTGAAGCGAGTTGGATATTTTTGCATCGATGGTCCTTTCCCAAAGATGTGAGGTCCTTTCCGGAAGACGTGACGGCAGCAATCACCGAGCCACTCCAGGCGAAGTTCCATGCTTATGGAGTCAGGCTCCCGGATGTTTGTCCTTTGGGAGCAGTGGCACCTTTCCATTCGCCTAGGAGGATGGAAGCAAGAAATGTATCCATGTGGTTGGGCCCGATTTCCGCGAAAAGGATAGGCCGGCAACGCGGGCCGAGGGGACATTCGGGCTTTTTGAGGAGATCCTACTTGCATAGAAGCCGATTTACTGACAAAACCCGCAGTTCGGGCTTGTATACTCGACACTCTGACATGTGATGTGCGGGATTGTATCATTACATATCATTACTACCGTTCTCTCATCAGATCCCGGGACGCATCCCTCGAGCTCCACGATGTCACATGACCATTTGACAGGAAGATCAGTCCCTTGGCCTTTGGGTTTTTGCCATCAAGGGCTGGCGGCAGTGTGTTGGAGATGGTGGGCATCATTCCTTCAGTTTTTGTCATTGACATCTCGAGCTATTTCCCAGATTCCATAAGTAGTAACAAGTGCCACGCTAGTAGTAACAAGTGCCTTACTAGTAGTAACAAGAAGCTACTAGCTATTTCTCCTTGCTCTGAGAGTTCAAGTCCTGCAGGGACTTCCAACGAGAACATGCAGTGAAAGAGTTGGCCCAAGCATACGGAGCCCTGGCCGAAACAGAACGGGTGAACGGAGTGCCACCGGGAAGCCGGGCGGAAGTCTGAGCCGGTGAGTCCAGCCGCCGAAGGCCCTCAAGTTTTCAAAGTTTACAACCTTAGCAGCTCAGCAGATGCCAGAGCCAGGATGTAAGTTGGGCCCTTGCCAAAACAGTTGGGCTGTCCAAAGATGGTCGAACTTCTTTACTTACTACGTGAAGACTGCCCGGTGAAGGTAACGTCCTCACGCAGTTCTTAGATTCTGGGCTGAAGAAGCTCCGGCACCTTGGATGCAAAATGAGGGCTTTTCAAAGCCCAAGCTGAGGGTTTTTCAGAGCAACTGAGGGTTTTCCTCCCAACTCGTCAAAGCCCAAGCTGAGGCTCCTCCCAATCAGTGGCGGCATTTTCAGTGGTCCTTTTCGCCAGGAGATTGAGATGACTCAACATTCCCATAGGTCCACGGTTGGGATGCGAGGGAAACGAAGCAAAGATCCAGAGAATCTGCCCTTTAGTGATCCTAAGGAGTGCATTGTATTTGAGAAAATGAGCTTGTTTGGAGCAAAGAGGCAAGGAAACATTTCCCAACCATACACCACTGTGAGATAGAGCCCGAAAACACAGGTCTTGCATGGTCTTGCGGTGGCTAAAGCGTTTAAAGCTTCTATGATGAGTTCTATGAGCAGTTTCTTCATTGTTCTTGACACAGATCCCCAGATCGATTTGCAACCACATCGCTGAGAGGAGCTACCGGAGCTCACAGCAGAAGCCCTCCAGGCCTTGACGTCATCACATGCCATGCCGCGTTGCTGGATGTAGGTTAAGAGCAGTGTTAAGAAATTGAATATATTGGAATCCTACCTGAAGTGGCATGATGTGCATGATTTTCAGTGCTGTGCTGTCCGTGCGGGTTCGGAATCGTGCCAATCCAACAGGTCGCGTATGACACTCTTGAAGCTGAAATGAAGAAACATGTTGACGAGTCCACAATAGAGTCGCCGCCTCACTGGGCTTTCTAAATGAGTGGTTTTTCCTGCGCAGACCAGACAAAACACAGCTGGATAAGCTTATGAGGCCAGCTGGTTTGCTATTTTGCTATGGTTTGCTTGTTGCGCTCAGCAATCACAACCCTCCCTCCAGAAACTACAAGGCAGTTGCGAAGCATTCTTCCTCAGTTTTTAGCAGTTAGGTTTGGACATCAATATTTGTGGACTCGTTTAAGGATGTGCATCTTTGTGGACGCGGAGTTGGAGTCATTTCGGGCCGCCTTTGGCAAGAAGACTGAGGAATAGTCTTGGCTCCATGCACAGGCAATCTGCTAATATTTTGAGCTGATACAAGCCTTTTATTCGAATCTCTGCAACTGACGTGGATCTTGTATCAGCTTTCTCATTGTTGATTAATGGGATGATGTCAAGAGCTTCCGATCTGGATCGGTGTTAAAGACCTGCACGATCAAATAATATCAATTCTATCTTGTGCCGTACTGCTGAGAAACCGTGCAACTGAGCGAAAAGTGGACCGGAAACTGCTTGCAGATTGCAGTTGTCAGATTCCGCATTTGGCCCGTTTGGCAAAATAATGGGAAGCTCACCCGCACAGAAACCTACGCCCTGAGGCCAAGCCCATTGGGAGCATCACTGGCGTCAGGGTGGAGTAAGGAGTCCCCAGTCGGCGGTCAAAGGCGGCCACTTGCCACGACAAGCGCTTGCTTACTAAGGTCCACAGGTCTTTTGAATGACTGCAAGGCACATTGCTGGACAGCCTTTTGGTTGAACAGAACATTGCCGCAACCCCGTCCTTAGCTAGATTCGGCTTTGCTCTAAAATCTCTGTTCATCACTATTCTCATTGATCCGATCCTGGCAGGGCCCAAGTGCTGGCCAAAGCACCATAATCCTTTTGCTGGACACCTTCCTGTCCGTGCCACATGTGCCCAAGCAGCTGCCAACATGCGCATCATCGAAACATCATGAAACATCCAAACAACATGCCACTGTGCTTTGATGATGCCGGATTCGGAGGCGACTCCAGGTGCAGCGTTTCAGGCACAGCTTGCAAAGGGGTCAATTGAGTCGAAACAAACATAGTCAGGCAGTCAGGTAGGTAGTTAAATGTATTTGATGCAGGCATATCCAGACATGCCCCATATCTCTCCATACTTCTGCAATGTGGCAATGCGAGTGGTCGTAGAAGCATTTATTGGCTGAGTTTGGTCGCCTCAAGTGGTTGTAGCCGTCCTGGATGCTGTCACGCGCAGAATCGTTCTGAGGATGAGATGCTGATGTACATGCCAGCCCTGGACTAAGAATGATGTGAGTGGCATAAACTTTAAACGTCGGGAGCAAGGCTGAACTGGTCACTTGCACGAGAGAAAGCTCATCCCATGTGCGGCTATGTGAGCCTACACTGTGTACTGATACAATACCGCAGGCGCAGGACTAGCGCAGAAGCGCTCAACAAGGTGAGCTCCTAACAAGCACAAAGGTCAGGTGCGCTTAGGTCGTAAGGACCTCAAGGCTAAGGGTGGCAGTGGTCAAGCAGGACAAACATGTGTCAAATCCGAAGCCCTTGCACACTGGCGTCTAAGTACCGCTTGGCTGGAACGCTGCCACTAGAATGTCTCCGCACACCCCAACTTTGAAAACTCACACATGAATATTGACCGCGGTCCAATTTTGGTTTCTTCTCATTGTCGTGTTTCTGTTGGCGATGAGCCTCCAGGCAAAGCCTTCATAGCACAGGGGCACAAGATGCTGCACTGGTCCAGGACTTCTCAATCTCTCCTTTTCGGCCAACTTCACCTCTCTTTCCTTCTCCCCCTCCTTTGTTTTTCTGCGCTGTAATGCTTGGCCACAACTAGGCCGAGCACCGGCAGATGGTCTTGGACTTGCGCAAGGGGCCTAGGTCTATGTACAGCCAGCTTAGCTTCTGCAGGCCAATTGGCCAGGATGTTGTTTGCTTGACAGTCTTGCGCCAATAGTATCACCCCAGCCGATTCACGGGCTTGCCCCATACACCAATAAATATACACTTGCTTCACAGAGCTAACAAAAGTGTTCAACCCCTCAAGCAGCCAGCTAAGTGCCACCATGGAATTGATCCAATCACCAGTCCAAAGCCAAGGTGCCCGCTTGCGAGAGGTGGGAAGCATACCAGATTTTGTGAAGAAGAGCCAGGCTCGGGGATGCACAGTCGGAACTCAATGACCAGCTTTGCTTGAAATCCCCCCCAGCGCTACATTTGCCAGACCCAATCACCACCACCACAACAACAACAGCAGCAACAACAAAAAAAACAATAACAAGAACAACGACAGCAAGAACAAGAACAAGAACAACAACAGCAAGAACAAGAACAAAAAACAAGAACCACAAACAACAACAACAACAACAACAACAACAACAACAACAACAACAACAACAGCAACAGCAACAGCAACAGCAACAACAACAACAACAACAAAAACAAACACAAAAACAATCACAAGAACCACCACCACAACAACAACAACAACAAAGCAACCACCACCACAACAACAACAACAACTACTACAACAATATCGACACCAACAAGCAACAACAGACAACAATAAACGACAAACCAGCAACAACAACAACAACACCAACAAGAACAAGAACAGCAACCACAACCACAACCACGACCACAACGACAGCAAGAACGACAACGACAACACCTGCTCCTGAAGTGGGTCGCGCTGCCTGACAGCAAGAACAATAACGACAACAACCCTGTGGTTTTAGCACTCGTGTCTCGTCATGAATGACTTCAACACCTCGGCGTCCTGCATGTGTTAGATTGTGCAGGAATACATGCGGGACTTTGGCGCGGCTGTGGTTTTTGCAACCTTCCCGGCCCCGCCGGTATTGTTTTTTTAGACTGGAGCCTTGTTGTTTGACACCTCCCCAAAACACCGCAAAAAACAGGACACACGGAGCAACCTAGGCTTACATGAAACAAGTCCAGCTACTTGGGCCAACAGCCCTTCTTCCAACCTTCAAGCGTCTAAAAGTTTGATGGGCTTGACCGACACTGTTTGAGACTTGCACTGTGAACCAGGCCACCTGCACTGAGTTACTACCAGCGTAACATGCAACAACAACAACAACGATTTTTCCGACAACAACAGCAGTAATTCTTTGTGGGTCCGACCGTGAGAGTCAATTGTCAGGGCGCTGCCGGAAAACAACTGCAGGAGGCCTTTGGGTATTCTTTCGACAGTCCCAGATCAGAGGTTGACACTTCCACAAGTAGTGTTTGTCTTTGGCCTTGCCAGCAGCCTTTGCAATTTACATCAATTTGCACACGAATCACTTCAAACACATTGTCAAATTTCTGGCTTGACTCCTTGACACGGCTGTGGTCGTCGGCGTTGTCCTTGTCCTCGTCGTTGATGCACTTGAGAAGCACCGTTTGAAGGCATACAACGAGAGTGTTGAAGCGATGTGTGAGCTCCGGCGCTTTCACTTGGCCACTGCATGGGGACCCAAATTCCATGTCCCACTGTTTGCAGTTGTGTATTGTGGGTTGATCAGGTGAGAAGATACCTCGTGAGACTTCGGCTGCAGACAGGATAGAATGTGCTGCTTACAGTTGATCACATCCGCGTGGCTTTTGTTTGATGTTCATTTCGAGGTACCTGTAAGACTAGTTGTGGTCCCTAGGCGCACTTCAAAAGGCACAGGGGCCACAACTTGGCGACTCCTTTTGCAGGCGGTGCAGCGGCAGATACATGCTGTTAAGCAGATTGTTCAAGGGTGCCTTGGTGATCTCACAGTGGTATACATTTGCGGAACTTCCGGAGTGAAAGCCATTAAGCAGGCAAACAGGTTCACCAGTCACGAAAGGTAGCGGATACGCTACCTGAGTTTTCCTTTTGCTTTAGCAAAAATGAATTATAACCAGAGTAGAGGCCCATCTCACTGAGAATCGCCTCCGACATTTCATTTTAGTGGCCGCGGAGGGGGGCCCAAAAAAATGGTAAAATGGGGGTTCTGGCAAGTTTTGGTGGAAGCAAAGCAACGATACAGAGAGAAAAACCAAATTAAGAGAGTATGCCAGACAATACTATTATCGTAAAAATGAACAACCATTAGTCCGTCCGGTGTGCGAAAGCATCATAAACAAATATCAAGTCAAACGACACAAGGAAAGCATCAAACATCAAAACAAACTAACAGGAAAAGAACAGCCAAAAGTTATAAGAAATGGAGAGGATGATGAAACTGGCATTATGGGAATATAAACCCGAACCCCCCCCCCAAAAGACACCACAAAACGAAACACAACAACCTAAACAATCATCCACCTCGTTGAATTATAGCAATGACAGTGAAAGTTATGACCCTAAAACACGCAAAACAAGACCCCAGAAAACGACAAAGGCTCAACACAAATTTTCAAGAGCCAAGAAAAATCAACGAGGTGGTTGATGAACAAAAACTCTGAACCATCATTTTACCATTTCCCACCCCTTTCAACTCCACCCTGGCACGGGTCTTTGATGGTCTTTGTCAACAGCTACAAAACACCGTAAATACCGGTGTTTTCAGCTCCTCCAGTCTGCAAGAGTGGCCTCAAACCACGCAATTTATATACAGGGTTTTCTGTGGCTGTCCGGCCAAAAACATCGTAAAAAACGATGGTTTTTGAAGTGTTTAGGCTTCAAACATGGTCGAAAATTTGCCAACAACCTGGAAAGATCTTGTCGGAAAGGTTTTTTTTCGGCGTTTGGAGGCTTCAAAATGGCAGACAACGACGGTATTTACACGGGTTTGTGCGCCTTCCCGGCACAAAACCCTATAAATTGCGATGGTTTTAAGCTATGTACGCTTCAAAGTGGCCACAAAACACCGTAAATACAAGTGTTTTCAGCTCCTCCAGTCTTCAAGAGTGGCCTCAAACCACGCTATTTATATACATGTTTTTTGTGGCTCAAAGGTTTTTTTCAGCGTTTGGAGGCTTACTTCTGATTCCCTGCTACCTTTCGTTCACCCCCTCCTCTCTCAAGTTTTGATTAGGCTTCACATTTGGAAAGATGAATCGTGTGCTGACTTTCTCCATGCTTGAGCTGGTGAGTTGCACTGAAAGCTGTGCCAATTTTTCCCACTGGTGCAGGGAATGCTGGACGCCACTGCCTCATCCTTGATCCGCTTGACTTGAGGGCCAGCGTGGACGAGCTCCAAAAAGCTGCATGGAATTGGCGGGTCATGTTTGAACAGCTTCAGCGTGTAGTCCGAAGCCAAATTTTGAGCGGCCTTGGCATGCCAGATAGTGGCAATTGCCAAGGTAAGATCAACATGATCAACCCAAAAGCATCAACATGTGGCCGCCGGCCTCAAATTCTGCGCCTCGAGAGCATGTACAGGATTTGCGCTTTCATTTGCCCGTGCTCTTGGCGTGATCGACTTCGGCCCTTGTGTTGCAAGCTCCAGACCGAAAGGAGACTAGAGCCCATGCTACCACTTTTGAGTGTCTTGGGTTCATGCTGCCATGATACTTGCTAAGGTCAGGCAGGTGCTTTACCGCTGTTGATTTGGTGTCATGCGTCAGCACATGCTGAACGATTCTTCTGTACACTTAAATTGATGCTCTCAGGTTTGCTCTCAAATACAACTCATGACGACCCATGTCCCACTGACATCCCATGTCCTTATGCCTCATGTCCGCTCTGATTAGATCTGGGTCACTTCACCAGAACAGCACGGCACAGTCGTTTTCTTTTTTCTAGGGTTTCGCCTGCATAGGCATGCACAGGCGACTTCTTCCCGTCCAAGTTGATGTTGATTTGTGATTCATCATCCTTGGACCATTAGTCTTTCCCCCTTCGTGAACTCGCAATAGTACGACCGAGAGGTCTAGCTTTTGTCTTCTGGGCCAGACCCTGAGGGAAGATGCAACCAGCTATGAGAGCATCAAACATCCTTGAAAAAAGACCAACAGCTCAAGCGCGCGGCTTTGAACATGGAAGCGGCTGCAGCCATGCCTCTTGGCCTTGTTAGACGCTCTCAATGGACGCCTCTCCTACGTCCTCATGGCTCACAACATCAGTTCATTTCGCAGCCTTGATGACGAAAGAGCTGAGGTTTAGCCGGAGGCTGGAGGTGGCTCAGCTAACAGATGAAGAACAGGAGGACAAGTTGGACACATGTCACTTCGCATGTTCAGTTTTGAAGACCTTTGGGAGGACCCCAACATACCCCAACGAAGCCACAATGAGTTGGTGCGGCGAATGTGCTAGGAGCCACTCCTGGAGCGCGAGTCTAGACCCGCCTCAATGCAGGCACTGCACTTGGCAGTGCCTTGCATTTCGCACGTGGCGGTGGGTGGCACTCGGGGACCGAAGATGAACGGAATCGACTGCAAGTCCGAGGGCAACCTACCAGGGTTTTCGTTCGCGAAACGGGTGTCATGACCCACAGCCACGTTTGGAAAGCCGTCCGGATGGAGCTTCTCCAGTGACCGATGGCTAAGCTAAGCCGCGGCCAGGTGATTGATGTACAAATAGGTAGCTTGGGATCATTGTTTTGGGAATAAAGGTCAGATTTGAGTTGTGCAAGTAAGGCTTTAGCAGCTGCTAGAACTACTGTCAACTGTAGTTAAAGTAGCGAAGGAAACAAACAAGCGGAAAGAGAGCGAGAGAGAGAGAGAGAGAGGGAGGGAGGGAGGGAGGGTGAGAGAGAGAGAGAGAGGGAGAGAGAGGAAGAACCAAATTTTGTGTCAGTATGCATTATGGTAGTGATATGAGTGTGGCCGCCGCCGCCTCCTCCAATGAGCCTGCTCTTTGGAATCCCTGATGGACAAGAACTTTGCAGCCGCTATGCCACCGGCCTTCTGTGGCACGCCGAGGGTTGAAGATGTTTGGCTTCGTGTGAACTTAGCACCAAATGCATTGGAACTGAGCACAAAAAGCATAAATTTAGATGAATCAGTAGACATATAGTTACAATGTAATGTTGTAAATAGATAAATTGGCATATGTACGTTTTTTTACTTGCACTTCCCGTTTTTACTTGCACTAAAACTTAGCGGTTGTTTTGGGCCTCATTCCGGCGATGAGAGCTTCACTTGACTTCGCTTCGTTCGAATCAGTGAAACAAGCAGGTGCCGGGAGCCAAGCATGCTTCTGCGTCTATATAGCATTATTATAACTCAAAGCAGCACATCAAACTTGCCGACCTGGATGGACCTGGATCATCCTTGTGAAGTCGCCATGGCACCTTCTGAAGACCGACTTGGCTTGAACTCTGTCATGGTGACTTCGGGATGCTTGATGCATGGAGGCGCCTTCAGCCCACGAGACTTCTGACACCACCCTGGACACGACTCCACCGACGACACAACCCTGTTTCGCCTTTGCCGTGGTTCCGAGATCACGATGTGCATCTCAATGGGCAAGAAGCTTTTGTTCAGGCCCTCAGCAGCTGTGAATTGGCCAGGGCCTGGCAGCATCAACTGTTTCTGGCTGATGCCATGCAGAGGGAAGGATATGGTCGGTGCTTGCCCGGCTTCCACGCGCTCATGCACTCCAAACACTGGGAGGAAGCGATTGGGCTTTTGGAGGTCATGAAGCTTCAAGGCTTTTCGCCCACTTCGTCCACCTTCTCCTTCGTCGTGAGATCTTGCGGCCGTGCCGGTCAGTGGAGGTGGCCTTTGAAACTCATCTCACACGGGACAGATGTGGACGGCACAGAAGGGACAGACAAAGAGCTCTGCAATGCAGTAGCAGCAGCTTGCCAACAAGCTGGTGAATGGCAGTGGTCAGTTTGGGTACTCGAACAGTTTGGGCAAAGCGCTTCAGGCCCTGGTTTGAGTGATTCGTCCTTTAAGCTGGCGATCACGGCTTGCAAAGAAGGAAGGCATTGGCTGAGGGCTTTGCAGATGCTCGGCTCTGTGGAGCAGACCTTGGCACAGAGCGAATTCCTATTGTCTTCCACTCTCAAGGCATGCGGCGCGCGCTGGCAGGCAGGGCACGGCAGAATTGGCTCGTGGTGTGGGTTTTGTGAGCTATAGGGAGGGTAGAGGACACTGATTTGGGCGTTTGGCTCCCCACCTTGCCCAGCACCGAATCGCAGATTTGCCTCGCGCTCGTGGATTCCTTCGATGCCTTCGCGCTTCCTGTGGTGATGACGTCCCTGATCTCAGCCTGAAGCTTGGCGGCAAAGTATTGAGGTTTCTCCCAGCAGTCCAAGCGGGGAAGAAGACGCACAGACACAAACACCAAGAACATCCAAGAACCAAAAGTTGTTTTCGACCAGGGAAGTAGGAGCACCTTTGCCAGCTATTCTTAAAATTTCCTGAAGCTGAAGCCACGAGAAGTTCGGCATCGCTTATACAACCCGCTAATTGCCTGAGCTTCAGTTGAGGCGAGCGTGCAAGGAAGTGGGAGGCGGCACTGCTATTCCTCGAGCGCATGGCTTCGCCGGCTTCAACCGATCCAGTGGCCTTGAGTTCGGCCGAAGAGCTCAGAGTCCAGCCGCGGATGGTGAACCCGGTTCCAGCAGTTGAACTCGGAAATAGCATGAAATAGCAACACTGAGAGATGATTTTATAAGGTCTGTGGGACGGTGGGACTGTATGGCACACAAGTTTTTGAATTCCCTTCTACAGTCTCTCTAGTTTGTAAAAAGTATGTATGGTATGTATTTATACATGCTATTTGCGCCCATGAACTTATATAACTAGTAGGTTGGGGCAGAGCCCCGCCTTGAGGCGATGAGTGCTTGTGTGCAAGCCACCGAATGGCAGAGGCGTGGTGGTGGTGGAGCGGAGTCCTCCTCCTCCTCCTGTGACGGAGCCATGTTTCAGAACATTGAGCATGTGGAAGACTTGTCTCACAAACAAGCCAAGAACTGTCTTGTCCAAGAACTTCATATTTGCGGCACTTGAGGGCTGGCCTATGGCTTGCACACAGACCTACAAACGATCAACATCTCTGCTTGTCCAGGGCGATGGCCTTAGCCTTCAGCTTGTTGCTCAGCACGCTAGCGGGCTTGGATTTTCTAGGTCTATAGGTGCATTTTTAAAAAAACGCTTAATCGCACCATTGCCGTTCGGAAGAGGAGAAGCAATCAATATCTACATAGAAACCCAAAGAAGACACATCCAGCCATTCATGTTGGTGTTCCATCAACAAGGCCACTCTGGGTCGCTGGATGCAGTGGTCTGGAGTGTTCTGGCCAGTGCCTGCGAAAGAGGCTGAGATGCAGGGCAGCCGACCAGGAGACCTTTCCATGCCAACCTGCCTGTCAGGAGACAGCTGGGAGCTGGCGTTGCAAGTCTTTGGTGGCCACCTCAGCCCAAAACTGAAGGCAGACCAAGAGGTTCAATGATGCCATTGCATGCCAGCTGAGATGAGATTGCAAATCGGTATTCTCCAAATGTCGTGGTCTTTGGGGCCGGCTCCCTAGCGCCACCTCAATTCCAACCTCAGTTCCAGTCAAGGGAGGGTCTACAAGTTCCAACCTCTTGCACGTTGATGCCTGTGCACACTGACACACATTTGTCCGGCACCTTTGACAACAGAGGGGTTGATGGGGTCTGAATATGCTAGAAAGGGCAACTGACTGACAACAACGGACAAAAACACAACTGTCACTGCTGATGCTCCTCTCTCAGAGCAAACTCAGCTTTCTTATGATTTCTTCCCTGCTCTGGAATGGGCACAGGCTATGCCTCACAACAGCATTGCAGTCAGAAAGGTTGTCAGAAGATGGTGGCTATTAATTAGCAAAGGACGCCGGACCCTTGCTGTATGAAACGGTTCCGGGATCTGGAAAGTTTTATATAAGACTCGAGGCAAACTGGAATAAACTGGAAAAGCAATCTGGGGGTCAATGATTGCTTGAACAACCAGTGGCGCGAGAAATGTTTATTGTGAAGTGCGGGAATGTGTGACATCTGAAAATCATTGAACATCGCTAGGGAGAGGGACAGAAAGAAAGAAAGAACAGAAAAGAGAGAGAGAGAGAGAGAGAGAATGAGAAAGAAACCGATAAAGAGAAAGAGAAAGAAAGAAAGACATACAGACAGACAGTGAGTGAGTGAGTGAGTGTGAGAGAGAGAGATAGAGAGCCCCAGCAATGGTGGAGCAGCGAAGGCTCAAGATGCTTAGGCCTTGCTGCGATCTTCACCCCCTTGGAGGGCCACGCCGGAGACCTGACATACTAGTACGTTGGAGTTCAGATACTGTGGACGGGGACATGTATGAGTTCACATGCCGAGGGTGAGCAGTGTGGATGCGCTTCAAGTTCGCTTGCCGAGGTTGCACCTCTTGAGCTACATGACCCAAACACTCATGCTGGAAACTCAATGGCTTCGTCAGAATCAGGGTGATCCATGGGACGCCAGATGACACTTTCCAAGGCCAAGTGCTACTTGCATCTCAGAGGTGCTTCGCTTGGTTCAAAGCTTGACGTGGAGTCGACATTTTATGCCAAGTATCGCCGAGTTGTATGTCCAATGGGTGGCTGGCCAGTGTGCTGGGAGTACCTGCTTATGAGTACTGGGAGTGCTTGCACATTGGCTCAAACAGTGGGTGGGATGCGTCCTGCCAACCGCACCAACATCTCCTCCATATTCGCGCCATGTATTGTGGCCGAGTGATTTGCACTCAAGCTTTGCTGCTTGTGTGCTTATGCGCGTTTTCCGTGACTTGTGCAGGTGCAGATCTGAGGAACCAGACTGACGTTTGTGAAGATGCTGCATTTCTACAGACAGCACACCTCAAGGACCTCAAGGGTAGCTTGGCATTGGACTTCGTAGGGTTTTCACGCGCTGTGACTGGTGAGCCTGTGAGACGGGGGAGTTATGGAGGAACGGTCCGATGCATCAGCATAGTCGTAACAGAGCACCAATTATGCTGCTGTATTAGAAGGATTAAAACAAGCGGGGGGTTGGCCGCGAGCAGAGGTAGGTTAGCTAGAGGTAGGTAGCTAGTAGAAGCTAAAGGGAATCGTTGGTACTTACAAGTAAGCTACTACACATGGACGCAGGATAGCTCACGCGGTGACCTATCAGGGATTCTCTTGCTTTCAACCACTCAGGCCAAGATACTGCAACGAAGCACCCGCTGAGTGAGTTGGAGACCCTGGTGGTGGCGATTCGCAGGCATCGGTTGACTCCAGGCACCTTTCTCGGGATGGCCACCGCTGCCCTGCTATTTGCTATATGGGAAGTCTCCTTTGACACCACACGGAAGATTGAGGCAACAGAGGCGTCCTACAGATCCTCAGACCGATGGTGGTTGATTGTTATGAGTGCCATGGTTCAGGTGCCTTGGAATTCTTTAGCGTTTATATTAGGCAGTTCACTTGTAGGATCTACCTATCTCTCCATATGATGAGAGCATCGATCTGCTAATGCTTTTTCTTGCTTGCAGTCGAGTCAAGGTGGTCTCTGGCTCGATCTATGCAATGGGTGCCTGGCAAGACGAACTTCGAGACAGGTTGGGCATCAGCATGACTGGTGCGACTGTCATAGGTGCTATGATCTTTGTGGGAATTTCGGCCGGGTTTCTCGGTGGTATCCTCTTCGATACTTATGGCCCCAAAGTGTGCCTTTGCCTCGGTTCCTGCTGTCTGACCATCGGATATTGCCTCCTCGGGATGGCTTCTGTTGCGGAGATGGGCACCAATGTGAGGCTTGGCGCAAAAGAACTATAGTCTATAGTCTATATTCTCTGGTTGAAGTATATAACAAGTAGGTTTTTTGTTAAGCCGCTCAAGCCTGAATTGCTTCATGATGCGTCACATTGCAAATGCAGCATGGCAGGGTCTTTAGCTTAGGAAACTTTGCATCGCAGCAGTTGCAGCTCTTTTGATGGGATATTCCAGCGTCAGCCTGATGGACAACATTGTTTGCATGACCTGCTCAGTGTCCTTTCCACGAAACCGTGCCAGTATCAACGGCTATCTCAAAGCAGTCCTTGCCACTGCAGCGGGCTTGTGGGCGCTGCTATGGGCGCAGGTCTTTAAACCATCATTTGGCTTGCAACTGGTCTTCATACCATCTTTTTTAAACATATGCACACATTGAGATTTTCATGTTCAGTCAAGCCACTTCATGCCATGACTCTGTTGCCATTTAACCTCCAATGCACTAGAAGGGTGGGCACATGACGTCATCGACGCTTTTGGGGAAAAGCGAACTTGAGAAGCAAGCGCTGTAGATCCAGGGGCCAGGCTCCGTCGTCGAGCCGATTATCGCATTGGTAGCGCGGCAAAGGTCAGCGCCGCTGCTCCTCAGGTTCGCTGCCTGATGTTCTTCGATGAGCTCTACGAAGACTTTGATGGCGCGGCTGAGTTTGGAGACGCCGCCTTCGATGATGGCGCGATCCCAGCTGATCCCATGGAGGAGGATGATGATGATGGTGACCAGGTCTACGACTTCGACGACCTGGATGATGGTGGAGGACCAGCCCGGCCTGTGGGTCCGAACGGCAGCCCGGCCTCTTCAGCAGCGAGAGGCTCACGATCTTCGCAACAAGGCCAAGCTGGTCCGAGCTCTCGCAAATGGAGGTCAGGGCACATCCCTGCGCCTCCCACCTTCGCAGGCAATGTGGAGGACGAGCCCTACTGCTTGCGACACTACCGTCGTGCACTACGACGGTGGACGACGATCACGAAAGAATTCCTGCCGGCGAACGAGCAAGCTTTGAGAGCGCTTGATGCGCTCACTGGCGAAGCCGCTTCGAAGCCGCCTTGGAGCTCGAAGAAGTGGACGACGAGCGCTACAACAAGGACAATGGAATCCAGCAGCTCCTCGACGACCTCGAAATCAGCTTCGGTGAACGCGAGCTGTTCAGACGCGGAGGACTGATCCGCGAATACGAGTCCCTGACAAGGGTTCAAGGAGAATCTGTCTGCACCTTTCTCAGGCGATTCCGCCTCTATGAGCGCAAGCTCAAGGATGCTCAGGTTCCGCCCTACCCGGACGAGACTCGAGCGGTCAAGCTCCTTGATGGGCTACGGCTCGATGAGAGGGCCACTTCACAGCTGCTCCTAGCTGCCGGCAAGAAGCGATTCATATCCAGTACCCCGCTGGTTTGACGCTGACGGGAATGTCCAGACACCCAGTTCCTGTACATGTTTCCTCAGCACGACATCGCGGCCGAGGACATCAGCCACGAGGACGTGGAAGAGGCGGAAGCTTCCGCTGGAAGACATGGCACACTGAGGCCATGGCAGCTGAGGATGACCCAGTTGAAGAGGTCTTCACGACTGCCGGCGATGAGGTCCAGCAGTTTGACGAGGACCTGAACGACGACACCTTCGATTTCCAGTTCGCGGACTATGATGAGCAGGCTGATGATGCAGCCGCTGGTGAGGAGTTCGAGCCCGATGAACTCCCTGAGTATGAGGCCGGCGATGACGGTGGCGATGAGCACCAGGCCATGACGGCCACGAGCAAGCGCCTGGCTGCAACCATGCAGTCAAGGGGCTACTACACCACTGCCAAAGACAAAGGCAAGGGCAAAGGCCATGGAAAAGGCGCTGGCAAGGACAAGGGCTTTGGCAAGAAGGGAACTACATCCTCTTCTTCGCCTGCGAAGATGAACCCCAATCAGAGACTGCGCGCGCAGGCCAGCCTTTGCTTGGGCTGCGGAGCCTCAGACCACTGGCTTCGAGAATGCCCACATGTCACACAGCACCAGGCCCACGTATGCTCAGCTCGACCACTTCCGAGTGCAAGACACCCTGCTGTGACACCGCCCGGAGATGCCCGCTCCTCCTTCATGGCTGAGGCGCTGGCGTCAGCTGCTGGTCCACTTGAAGCCACACCTGCGCGACGACATTATCAAGAACTTCATGGCTCCTTGCACGGCGGCGACCATGCAGACCTCGATGGCGGCAATGGCAGCGCAGGCCAACACGCAGACCCTGACCTACCCGAGAGATCCAACGGAGTGCGAACACCCCTCAGGTCTTCGAGCTTACGGGGCGGGAGGCCAGGGCGTTCGCATCTGCGACCAGTGCGGTTTCAGAGCAGTGATCCACAAGGGTCAGATGATCCGAGTGCAGCCCAAAGCAAGTCGTCGTGCTCGAACCCCTCTACAATTGCCGGAGCGCATCTCACAACACAACAAAAGCAAAGCCGCCGGCAAAGCATCAAGAGTCAACTGGTTCCTCAGGACAGCAACGTTCTGGCTCGGGACCTTTCTTGCCTTTCTCTCAGGGCTACTTCTCGGAACCACCTCAGCTGGACTCATCAGCAACTTCTGCAACAGCAAGTCGAGGACCAGGTGCAACGTCGACTTCAGGAGATTGGTCCACAAGTGGAGGCGCAGGTTCAGCACCGCTTGGAGCAGATGGCCAAGGCGAAGGCCCCTATGCCCTCGACTAGGGCGATGTCAGTGCCGGAGATTCCTTTGGACAACGGTTCAACAGCGAGTTGGGATCAGGTTGGCTCGCAATGGAACCAGGACTGGAACATACTGGAACAACCATGGGACCAGCCCTACGACTGGACCGAGGAGATCAAGGAGCAGCACGAGGACTACGAGAACGACCAGGAGAACTTCCCGGACATCGGCCAGGAACAGATGTCCCTGGACGGTTCGGCTCTTGGCTCTTTGAAACCACAGCTGTCTGGGTCGGCCGACCGACCTTTGACCTTTGAGGACCGCGGTTTCCAGCTTCTCAAACCTGGACGCCGCAAGAGACTACTTCACACGGTTCGCCAACTTCGTCAACTATGGCTCACTGAGTTGCAGATCTATGACAATGTCATTCAGGCCGCACGGAAACTCCGTCACACCTCCGAGGTTGACCTCATTGAGATCTATGGCGGCCACTGCAACATCACTGAGGAGGCTCTGTCGCGAGGACTTCGATGTTTGCAGCCAGTGGACAAGATTCATGGAATCAGTCTCGACAGCAAAGCCGGCTCCATCGATGGCGACCTCTGCTACCGGTTCTGGAGCCTGAATGCCGACTCTGGTCACCTTTGACTGGACTCAACTACTACTGGCATTACTGGCGACCGGAAGAACTTGAACAACATCGAGAAGAAGCGCAAGTCACTGTTGAAGGTGTTGCCAACATGATCCGCGACATCATCGCAGCAGACCGCTTCTTCCTTTTGGAGAATCCCCACAACGGGCAGTTTTGGAATCAACCTGCAATGCTCAAGCTCTTCAACGACTTTGAGCTCTACTACGGCTATGGTAACATGTGCGCCTACGGTCTTCGTGGACGCAACGGTGGTCTGATTTGCAAACCCACCGGATGGCTGAGCAATAACCCAGCCTTGCTTGCGAGTGTCACTCACAAGTGCAATGGTCTTCATGAGCATGAAGAATGCATGGGAGGAAATGCCATGCTTGCCGCTGTCTACACCAAGCAACTTGCTAAGTCCCTGGTGGATGCCTTCACCACTGAAATGCAAGAC